AGGATTGGCATGGATGTTAGCTCAGGGCTGATCTTCCCAACAAAAAAAAAAAGAGGCCCTTCTAAGCAAAACCTAACCTGAGACATCACACACACATACACAACACACCCACTCCTTTCCAAAGGGCATGGACTCCTCCTCCAAGCCAAATGGCCATTGCTAATAGTCAAACACCACCCCTGCTGAATCCATGGTCATATTCTTTTTATTGAAATGCCCAGTTCCCATTTAATCTCAGATTTCTAGCACATTTTACTGGTTGCCATTTCCTAGGTCTCTCAACTCCTAGGGAACACCATCTTTTCAGGATCCAATTTCCAGTTCCCAAAAGGCCACACTGAATTAAATGAATTTACATTCAGGCTGAAGCATGAGGCTGATTTTAATCATGGCAGTTACAGCCCCAAATTCTCTTATTTGGACAAGTTCAAAACCTACTGCATTCTCAGGGTATTATCTGAAACAATGTGTGCCACTGTTTGGTTATTAAAAGCTCTAAGTTCTTCCCAAGAGACTATTAAGAGAGAATCCATTTTGTATATTCTGCTACACTCACAAATCACAAACAGTAAACAGAAATTCTCTTCCTCACTCTCAATGGTCTCATTAATGGGTTCCTGACACTTGCACACCCTCAAGAAACATGTCACAGGTAATACTGGGGACAAGAAGCCACACTGCTCTCACTGGAGGCTGAAAAGTGATTATTATGCATCCTTCATTCCACTACAGTCGTGAGCAGACAAAAGCCCAGCTGGAAAGGCAGGCAGTGAAATGAGATGCCGTTTCCAGAACTCTTCAATTTATAGATTAAGGTATGAAAGAGGGCAAGACGGTACCTCCATCCAGGGGTATACAATCTTTTTAGAGGGTGTGTGGTAGGCAGAATCCTAAGGTGGCCCCAAGATTCTGGGCCCTTGGGGTACACACACATATTCTCGCCATTATTCAAACACTAATCTAGGTACCACTGTGATGGATTTTGTAGATGTAATTAAGGTCCCAAATCAATTGACCTTAAGATAGACCTGAAACAACCCAAATGTCCATCAGCAGATGAATGGATAAACAAAACGTGGTATATACATACAATGGCATATATGCTACGACATGGATGAACCTTGAAAACATTATGCTAAGTGAAATAAGCCAGGCACAAAAGGACAAATATTGCATGATTCCACTTATTTGAGGTACCTAGAATAGGTAAATTCATAGAAACAGAAAGTAGAATAGAGGTTGCCAGGGGCTGCGGGGAGTGGGGAAGGGAGAGTTATTGTTTAATGATTACAGACTTTCTGTTTGAAATGATGAAAAAGTTCTTGGGAGGGTGGGGGGAGACAGAGAGATCTAATCACATCAGCCCTTTAAAACCAGGTCTAGAGGCCAGAGACAGAAGAATTCAGAGATCAAAGGGTGAGAGATTTACTCTCATGAGGGAGATTGTCTGTTGCTGGCTGTGAAGATGGAGAGACCGGATGGCAAGGACCTGAGAGAGGCTTCTAGGAGCTGAGAGTAACCCCTAAATGAGGACCAGCAAGAAAACAGGGACCTTAGTCCTATAACCCCCAGGAACCGAATACTGCCAACAACCTGAATAAACTTGTCAGCAGATTCTTCTTTAGCCAACCCAGCCTCCAGATGAGAACACAGCCGACGGATGGCTGGATTTCAGCCTATGAGATGCTGAACAGAGAAACCAGCCACGCGATGCCTGGACCTCTGACCTACAGAACTGTGAGCTAATAAAAACAGATGTTTCAAGCTGCTAAGTTTGTGGTACAGTGACAGAATACTAATAAAGGGTGATTTGGTGATAATACAAAAAAGTCATGCTCTGGGGCTGGCCCCGTGGCATAGTGGTTAAGTTCATGCGCTCTGCTTTGGCGGCCTGGGGTTGGCAGGTTCGGATCCCGGGAGCCAACCGACACACCTCTTGTCAAGCCATCTGTGGCGGTGTCCCATATAAAGTAGAGGAAGATGGGCATGGATGTTAGCCCAGGGCCAATCCTCCTCAGCAAAAAGAGGAGGATTCGCAAAGGATGTTAGCTCAGGGCTAACCTTCCTCACAAAAAAAAAAAAAGTCATGCTCTTTGACTCAGTAATTCCACCTCTGGAATCTATCCAAAATACAGCAAAACTTTTATGTGCAGAGTTGCTTACTTCATGTTATCTACAAGTAAATTATGCATACCTATACAGTGGAATATTCTGGAAGCATAAAAATGACACAGAAAAACGCAGGAGCCAAAATTGCAAATGGAGTATCGTAACTCACCATATCACCTATCAGAGGAAGTTATTTTTAAATAGTAAAACAAAAAAACAAACCTAACTCATGTTTCCCTATTCCTATCCCAGAAAAAAGAGGCCAACATTATGTTAGTAAGAGCACATTAAGGAGGGTTATGCTAGGCTGTCTCAAAGAGGGAATGGAGAGAGGAAAGTGCTTTAAGCAGAGGAAGTGAAAATAACTCGACCAGAGTAAAAGTTGGCACTTGTGGGGGAAAGAATTATCCCCCAAGGCCTCATCACCTTCAGTGCACCAGATAGGGAACGGCTGAGAAATGCTAAGTCTGGACATCAGGGGGTTAAGAACCATGGGATTCTTATATGATCCCACGGCAAGAGAGGAAGAGAACCCCTATACTCACAGCGAGAATTTTCCACCAGCCTGCAGGAAGTGGCTTGCTGCGGAATAAAGACAGTTTAGAGAAGTAAAGGAAAGTGGTATTTTATACCCTACTACGGACTAAAATTTAAACCGGCTACTTATGCTTAAGAAAAACAATGAAGAAAGTATATCAAAATGTTTAAATGGTAGTTGTTCCTATGGGGTTTTTAATTTTATTCCTCTAAATGAGCCTACATTTTTGTATTATTTATATATTTGCATTATTTTATAATAAAAAATACTTTTTTTTCAAAGGCATTCCAAGTCTCTTCTCTCTCTACTCCTCTCATCCTGGCCTAGGCCCTCAATGCCTGTGGCCCGGTTTACAGCAACAACCTCCAAACAGTCTAGCTTCCTCTCTCCCTTCTCCATTCTACCAAACACTAAACTTTCTGAAAGTGGAGTTCTGATTACGTCAGTCCACTGCTCTAAAATCTTTGCTGGTTTTTCACTCTGAATAGAATCAAGTGGAAACTTCTCAGCCTTTCCTCAGCCAAGGGTTTCCAACCCTTGCAAATCAGACACTTACAAAACTTCAGTCTGACCTCTCACACTCTGCCTGCTCAAACCACACCCATTCGCAGCACTCACCTTTCTCGAAGTTGTTCAGCAACTCTCCCAATTCTGAAGAGATGCTTAAGCTCTTCCCTCCACCTGCAAAGTCCTTCTCTCCTGCTTTGCTGTTGAACTTCTATTCATTTTGTAATACAGTCTCAAGACACGCCTCCTCTAAGAGGCTCACCAGAGTCTGCCAAGGGGATTCCACCTTCTCTGCCCCTCTGTCACAGGACTTGCCTTAACTTGCTTTGTAGCAGTTACTGCTGTACACATTTATCTTCTCCCTCTAGCTGGTGAGCCCCGGCAGGACAGGGTCTATTTGTTTTCTCCCAGAGCACCCAACGAGGTGCTTTGTACATACAGGTGCTCTGTGAACATTTGCTGTTTTAAAGACAGGTCAGAACAGGTCAAAATCAAGGTCCTTCCAGCTCATACTGTGCCAAGCGGCTCCTTGACATCCCAAAGAATTTTTTTGGTAGATTCTCTCGATAATTCCTCTTGACTATTTATCAGCCATGAATTTATCCACACTTCTAAAGTTTCTTCAATTCTTTAATACCTCCTAGGATAATAAACCTGGATAGTTCACTGCCTGCTGTGTAAAACTTTCAACTAGAATAGAGGAATCTGATGAACAAAATTTGTGGACCTTACCCACACACTTTATAACGTAAAATTCCAATCATATCTTCTTTCAACCTCTGTTGTTAGATACTGAACTGTCCTCTCCCACCTGTAGGAAAACAAACTTACTGTTCACAACTGCTCTCTGTCAAAAGAGACATCTTTAAACAGAAGAGAATGAAGCCCTTGTTTCTTCAACTGCAGGAAGGATGGTGGCTTTTGTGACACACTTTAGGAGTCATATGGCCTTTACGAAATGAGACTACAATAGCATTGACAGTGATGTTTGATTCTTATTTGCCTGGAGAAAATGTAATTAATAATTTGGATAAGACAGGCTAACTGAGGCCTAATAAAAGATATCAATTCCTGGGGCCAGCCCGGTGGC